CTCATCACGCATAATTGGGCATTTCAAACATCTTCGGGTTGCGAATATAAAATGGTCAACATCTGGATGAACTTTGACGAATTTTATCACATCGAACACTTTGCGCACGCGACCGGTTAACAGCATCTATGCGTCGATGTAGGGATCGGGTTTGCTGAAGAAATCTTTTTCTCTGCGTTTAGCAGCGTCATGTCTTGCACAGAACGCCAATGTGGGCTGCTGAGGTAGTTGTTCTGCAGGAAATCTAATAAAAACATTAACATTTAAGATGTTGTTCACTGTTATTTTGGCAGGGCAAACAAAGCAGTCTGACTATAGCGAGATCGTGGGCAGGAAAACTAAGATTTACCTAAATGCGTGAATGTTGCAGTGAGAAAAATAGTGAGGCTATTTGAAGACATCTGTAGAAAATGGGGCTGGGTACAATAGAACATGTGGCCTTTTTTGTTTAAAACAAGAGAAGCAAGCGCGTGCTTTTAAAGAAAGTTTACTTTTTTAAAATCCTTGCTAAAAGTCAAATACAATTTACATAAAAAATGTGAAGTAACGAACGTTTGAACACGTATGCAAGATTCTTGCTTACCGCCATCTAATGTGCTCGTATACTTTGTACATGTACTTGTCGTCATTCATAACCCAACCCGTCTGTGTCGAAATTATTTGGAAAACATCTTCAGGTGATGAATCTTGTTCTTCCTCCTCCTCTTCTTCTGCTTGTGTCTTTTGATATTTCTGGGACGGCTCTGCCTCGTCATGTGTTGGAGGCTTACATGATTTCAAATGACAGCGATTATTCTCCTCGTCCGACAATTCTGATGAAGATGATGGCAACCGGAAGCTTCGGCGGAGGTCTCTCAGCACTGCAATTTGTTCATGCTCTTCATCTCGTACAAAAGAACGATGGACTGCGCAGGAGTCTGCTGGGCTCGACCTCGACACGTTTGGTTCTACTTCCATTTCTCTCAGATCTTGATAACCGATGTTTTTTACAATCTTTGAGTCGAAAAGGGATCTAATAATGAAGGGAAATGTTTTTATAATTAATCAGATTACTCTATCATCTAGTTAACCGTGACGCATATGGGAAGCACCATAGTTTGTTTTTGAACGGAGCAATGCAGCGAATAATGTTAAGTGCTTACCGTGCTATGTTGTTATCATCTATGACCGCTGCTTCGCCGTCGCTGTTCTCGTACCAGCGTTCCTGGCGTGGTACATGATCGATGTTTGCCGTTATCTGGTTTGCGGTCCAAACCAAGCAGTCCATTGCGTGTTCATAGATCCATTTGTCGATTCCTGCGGTTGTCCTCGGCAACGATTGAGTTTCGTAAACAGAAATTCGTCGTTCGACGTTTTCCATTTCTTTCCCGAAGTCGGGAACAGTGTTCGTCGTTATATAGAACGGACTATTGTTCCAGACGCACTTAGGCTGTTCATGTTTGACGGCCGAGACCAACCATCCACCCTGCAGAAGCGTTTTAGCTAGGTCGGATTGCATCGTGTACGAAGACCAGTCGTCGATTACAACAAGTTCCGTCGAGTCATTTATCATCGACGCCGAGAATTGCTTCTCGCTCGTTATGGAGGCAACTCGTTCGGAGGGAACGATTCTGCGCAGAACGCACGCCCATGACGTTTTCCCCGAGTCTTTCGGTCCTGACACAACTAATTTTCGAATTTTTTGAGGCATGCGACGACCAACAAAACATTGATAGAATTTATTGAGAAACGCGGTCCGTACGTCCAGATCTGGAAACAAATTGACTATGCCGTTCTTAAAATACAGCGGCTGTGGTGGCGTTGTGCTGTCGTATGGAATATACGTACGAGGCGAAATTTTCCCCAAAGGCATCCGTGGTGGGCATTCCGTAAACGAGCGCGTCGAGATTTGAAAAAACTGTCCGCCACTAACTTCGATGTAATCGGGATCGAATTCGATTTGGCTGATGATTTCGCAACCGGGATGCGATAGCAGTTGTACAATGCGAGACATGTGCTTGATGATCTTCTCTCGTAACGCATCGTTTGTAAGTAATTTATTGACGTACGTTTTAACGTCCATCATTTTGACGTACGTCAAGGTTGCTTCCATTGGTTTGCCGTACACGAATCCACGATGGAGTGCATGATGGCACCGCATCATCACGAGTTCAATCTCGCGTATTGTGGCCGTTATGTCGCTCGGTGCCGTTATCACTTTGTTGCTTTGTGTTGGCCTCGAGATGATTTCTAACTCGCACTCCAACCCGTCTGAAGTTAGTGCAGCGTGAGCCTCACTGAGTGGTCCACCATAGGAATCTTGTTGAACGACAACAAGCCGACAAGGTATTTGGGCGTTCGTATTTCGTCGATTGATGTTTTCGTCCTCGTCCTCTATTTCTCTTGCACGACATACCGAACGACAAAAGTGGTTGGATGCAATCACCATGTTTTTCGTTGCGGCGTTGTTATGGTCTTTAACAACCTGAGCGATCTTGCACACTGCTGTTTCAACCTGTGTCAAACCTATGGTATTGCGTGTCTTGATTTCGGTTATTGTTGGTTCCATATCCGCATCGTGAAGTGCGGCGAATATTGTCTCCTTCGTGCACTTCGATGTCTCGCGGAAAACAACGAAGTATGCCACACCTGGAAAAATTGTTGAACCACGACTGGCAGGCTCATCGTCCTCGTCCTCCTCGTCCGACTTTGGTCGACTGGCGTTTGTTTGAACCATCGTGATGCACGATATGAAAAATTGGACCCCATCCATAGCAATAATTTGGTCGTCCAATTGTAATCTCTTTGAACAAATCTGATTTTTTGCCAACTCCCTGTCTTCGTCTGACACTCTCCAGATGGCGCGACAAGCAAGACCATGTGTATCATGATTGAGCTGTTAAGGAAATGTGAGATAATTAGTTGAGACCATGTGGAATGGTCGGCAGAATAACCAATTGTTAATGTACTACAGAGAACACTTCTAGCTGCAGATAAACGCTTAGTAAGTGTTTGAACTACGTTATAATGGAATAGAAGACATCACAGTGTCGATAAACGTAGCGTGATTGTCAACTCTCGTTACTGATTGAACATACCCATAATAATCAACATTCTTCAAACAATATTTGCTTGAACTTACCCATTTCAACAGGTTTACACGTAGCGAGTTTCGCAAACGCTTGCTGTCCAGTTGTTTCTTCGGTCGTGTGGAAAACATTGTAGATTACGTTAGTTTTTTCTTTGTAAATTCGTTGGGAACCAGAGCAGGAAAGCGACAAGCAACTGCAATGCGATGTCTTTTATACGATTTATTATTCAATATACACATATAATTAGTACTCATGCGTAAAAAGCGAACAAAAAATATTCTACTTTGGTTATCTTTATCTTCCTTATCTTTATCTTCCTTATCTTTATCCTGATCTTCTTATCTTTATCCTTATCTTCTTATCTTTATCCTTATCTTTATCTTCTTTATCGTTATCGTTATCTTTATCCTCTTATCTTTATCCTTATCTTCCTTATATTTATCCTCTTATCTTCCTTATCTGACATGCACAAGGAGCCAAGTTCGATAAGCTCAGAGTCAAGCTCTCAATAACTCGGAGCCTTGTATAAATTGCTTTCTCTCTTCCGATATAAGCTTCCTTATTGTTGTGTTTTACTCATTTGCTTCCAAACCGTCGAACAGAAATGATCAATCTTCTAAGGCACAAGCCATATCTTGAATTGTTGGGCACGTCCGAGCCTGATCAACAACAAGCACTACTGGAAACAGCAAGCGCCGAACAAGTACACTGCCTGTGTCTCTGTGTAGAAAACGTTATGAAAAGAAAATATTTAATGCCGAAGCATGTGATGAAGAAACTCCAACCTTACAAAAATGAAATGCTTAGGTTGGCAGATAGAGGAAAATGTGGAAGAAGAAAAAAACGGATACTCGTTCAACGTGGTGAAGGTTTCCTTGGACTATTACTAAGTCCTATTTTGGAAAGCCTGGCTGAACTTGTATAAAAGCCCTGTGATTACAATTTTTACATCATTTCAACAATGAACATCGAGAGTAAAACATCTCCGCGACATTGGCGCATTGAAGATATACTTTTGTATCTCAACAATAATGTCAAAAAAGCTACAGCAGAAAAAATTCTACATTCTATTCTTATATCAAGTGAAATTTTAACTTGGAATCCTCAGGGTGAGATTATTTATCATGGAAGAGACATTCCTGGTACTAACATCGAGAACTTTTTACAATACGCACCTTTACCATACAACTCTCACATTCCTGAACCACGAGGGCTCGACCTGTTTACAAAAGGTCTAATAGAAGCAGGGGTTAATAAAGATTTGATTAAAAACGAGTATTTATTGTCAAAAATGGCAAAGGAGGAACATGAAATGCCACAATCTGAGAGTGATGTTGAAAGCGAATCTGGTGAAGAGAACAGGGAATCTGACAAGAGTGATAACGAAAGCGAATATGATGATAATGAGGATGATGATAATGAGGATGATGGTGAGCCCGAGAAATTAGCTTGTGATCATTGTGGAGAAGAGACTGGTCACATTGTATACTTAATGAAGTGCCCAAGATGTTCGTGGAAAGATTTCTACTGGGGCAAAGACGCTCAATGTATGATATGTGATGAACAGTCACCTCTACTGTTTTCGCATGTCATTGGTTTCTGCGAGCTATGTTCGTATGGTACGTCTAACAGCAAGGCGGGCGGATTGGAGTTCACACCAAAAATGGACAAATAAAATACCCAGCAGATTGGACCGAACGTGACCTAGCGCGAATGACTCCGGAAGCAAGAGAGGATTATGAACGTTTTATATTGAGCGATAGACCGAAATATATTCCAATGAAGCCGGAAAAACTTGCAAAGTTATCCCCAGAAGATAGACAAGAATATGAGAACTCTTTAAAAATAACAAAAACACCTAGACGTTACGCTCTTAGAAGTAGACCTTACTAAATTTTGTAAAACATTTTGAGGAAGTAAATGTGTTTAAAAACTGAAATATTGTGTAATTTTTTGCCGGCAAAGCCCGCTCTTTCCGCCCGCGCGAAAAGATCCGTGTACAAATATGTTGTACTTTAATATATACATGTACCCGCAAAGCCACGCGCCTGATTTTAAGGTATACACCTGCGTTAAAAAATAATCCCTATCTATCCATCGGGATACCCTTAGTTATGCAAATTCGTATTACCTTAATCCCCTTAATTACCTACACACCTCCTAATGACTTAGCAACACATAAACAACGCAACATTTGCAAAGTTTAAAACATGTTTATTGATACAAATAACAGACGATAGTGTCAAAAAATATTACAACTGTTCTAATTCTTACTTCTACTCTTGATAAGCTTTCTTATGATCATCTTAACAGTATATATGTATGTAGGAGGTTGCTAAATAATCTTGAACATGTAAATATTGACCATAACAACGACGTTGACAACTCGGGATTAGGAACTGTTTAGTTTAAAATATGTCTTGATTTTTGTAAGGAAAAGATTCCTCGCTATGGAACATACGAAAAATCCGTCAATATACATGTGGAAATTTATCTCTTCCGAGCAAAGATACGGCTATATATTAATTTCGATAACAATTTTGCCATGCGAGGGACACAAACTATTCAACACACAAAGTCTTTCAACCCCTTGTGCGACTGCATTCGCAAATATTCCTTCCAATAAATTGTAAGATGTGGTTTTGCCGTGTAGACACGCCATGACTGATGTGGAACAAATACAGAACTATGCTTGTTACAAGACGCTTGTCGATTTTTTATACAAACACTTGTATAAAAGTTCATAGTAAGCCAACATTAATCTCTCCATTGTATCATACACGTGGAGAGACGCTAAAAAATGCCTAGTCAGCAAGTTTTGCCCGATCTTGTTTAAACCTGCCCGCGTGACGTCATTACTTACCTGATCCTGCCCGAGTGAACTCACTACGCACCCTCATTCCTCCTCACTCCTCCTCAGCGTGACGTCATTGCATATAATTATGACGTATGTTAATGAGTGACGTCATTACGCACCCTCATTTGTATGAATATTAATTAACGCACCCTTACGCACCCTCCTTTGTATGAATATTAATTAACGCACCCTTACGCACCCTCAAAAATAAGGCCCGAAAACCACCTACTATACTACTCACCCCTATGTCTGGATGCAAGATATACGGCTGTCTGAATTTCATACACCCCTATATTTTGCATCCCCATTTAGGGGTGTCTGATATAATATTGGCGAATTTGCTGTATTGTAGAATCTTGACTTGTCTGAATTTACCCGTATAATTTCCATCCAGATAAGGGTTGTCTGAATTGTAAGATAAAAAGATAAGGATAAGGAAGATAAGGATAAGGAAGATAAAGATAAGGAAGATAAAAAGATAAAGGTAAGGAAGATAAAGATAAGGAAGATAAAAAGATAAAGATAAGGAAGATAAAGATGAGGAAGATAAAAAGATAAAGGTAAGGAAGATAAAGATAAGGAAGATAAAGATAAGGAAGATAAAAAGATAAAGATAAGGAAGATAAAAAGATAAGGATAAGGAAGATAAGGATAAGGAAGATAAGGATAAGGAAGATAAAAAGATAAAGATAAGGAAGATAAAGATAAGGAAGATAAAAAGGTAAAGATAAGGATAAGGAAGTGAGGATAAGGAAGATAAAAAGATAAAGATAAGGATAAGGAAGATAAGGATAAGGAAGATAAAGATAAGGAAGATAAGAAGATGAAGATAAGGGTCGATGTAGAGTCGGTGTAGGGTCGATGTGGGGTCAATGTGAGGTCGATGTAGGGTCGATGTAGGGTCGATGTAGGGTTGATGTAGGGCTAGGAGTATAGAAACCGTGGCGAATGAACAATTAAGCCAAAGGACTCTTATTACAAAAAAACATTTAAATTATTGTGCGTAATTTAAATAAAATCGAACATGTTATGCTCTAAGAAGTAGACCACATTAACTTTGTAAACGTCTCGAAGAAATAAATGTTTTTTAAGATTGAATTATTGTGTAAACATTTCGCTGCAAAGCGCTCCTGCTTTGTCTAAATTGCTTTCTCTCTTCCAATATAAACCTCTTTATTGTTGTGTTTCCAACCCGCACGGATAACCCGCGACGCCCGCGCAATGAATATCCTAATCTACCCGTATTTATCCACACAGTAGAAAATGCAAATCTCTGATAAAAGTTAATCCTTTAATTAGTTTCACCCTAACAACACATAGCAACCGGTGTGCTTTAATATAGCTTAAATTTATTAACTTTATCCGAGTTTTAGTACTTTAAAAACCTAGCACTAAAATTTAGAAATCGCTTGACAATTATATATCATGACCTCTAATTACTTCCATGTGTTTATATAACTCTAGACAGCAACATATTCTCTCGTATATAGACCCCATATGGCAGACCGGGATATAAATATTAGTTTAATTGTAAATACACAACTCTTCCCGCCTGCTATTTCTCAGCGTTTTGACGCTTGATAATATTTATATATTACTTAACAACAAAACATATAGCTGTATACCCCGAATATATAAGTTTTAGATATATAACACTCATGCTATTTCATATAGTATCAGATTTTTTATTCCTCTTGGAGCTAAATTATAGAAATCACTCGACAATAACAGCAAAATGCTATAGCTGTGCTCACAAAACTCCAGACAACAACATGTTCTCTTGTATATAGCCCTACTTTTCATATGGCAGACCGGGATTTAAATATTAGATATGGGAACGTCAGCAACATCTGAAAATGTAAAAAAGTCCTCAAACAACCAATCATAGTAAGCCAACATTAATCCCTCAATTGTATCATACACGTGGGGAGGACGCTAAAAAATGCTTCGTCAGCAAATTTCGCCCGATCGTGTTTAAGCTCGCCCGCGTGACGTCATTGTATATAATTATGACGTATGTTAATGATGATGCGCCACCACAATCTATGCTAATGATGATGCGCCGCCCCGCGCCACCACACGCCACCACACGCCACCACAAAAATCCGGGTCGAACGGCCCCTATATTACTACTTATGTTTCGAAGAGTAAATTCTAATATTTGAAGAGAAAATTCTAACTTTGAAGAGTAAATTCCAACATTTGAAGAGTAAATTCGATATTTTGAAGAGTCAATTCTAAGTTTTGAAGAGAAAATTCTAAGTTTGAAGA